TCCGGTCCGTGATCCGATCCGTGATCCGGTCCGGTCCGGTCCGGTCCGATCCTGGTTTTGTCGACGCCGCAGTTGGTCGAATGTGGAAGTAAAATGCAAATAATGATTTTTACTGGGTAAGTAAAGTATTTAAAGTGTAGACTCAGTTCGGTTCAATTGACTTTGGATGACCATATTTGTACTGCTTAGTGTAAAAGTGACTAGAAAGAATTTAGCCTTAACCCAGAAATATCTTTCTGTTTTTTTTTTCTCTTTATCTTGATGATCTGGAACGTAACACCTCTCGCTGTTGTTGTTTATTAATTATAAAATGAAGGTCTTCGAAAGATGGTCAAAGATTTGATACAGTAATATCTTTCAAAAAGTAATGAGCTCAAACGAAGTTGCAGTAAAGTCATTCGTTATATCTTTTCCATATTTAATATATTTCTTGATGATAAACAGCATCATCTTTTTTACTCTTTTACAATGAAATACAAGAAAAATATTAAAACTTAGTAGAAATAAAAAGCCATCTGTGAGAGAGCATACATCAGATTGTCATTCCTATTTAAGTATTGTCTACATGTAGAAATTATTCCTGCTAACATGGGGGCTAGACAGGTGCAGGACTATTATAATATTACGTTTTTTTTTTATGTAGAAGGGAGCCATGGCTTTAAGGCATAATACAGGAATTGTCAGGTCCTCAGTTTCTTAAAGGACCCTAGTCAGCCTCTGCTATTTTTTATGCCATCAAAATGATTGATATTGCATGGTGAAGCGAAATCTTATTGCTTTACTGTGAGCTGTGTTCCTGAAAGTATGTCCCTTTTATCTTTAGTAGTTTCACAGTGATTTTCTCTGCTTCAACATGCTCTGAATAAAATATAATAGCCAAACTCTTGTATGAAACAAAAACAAAGGTGTGGTTGACTAGGGCCCTTTAAGGGGAGTTTTAGATGGCTCCAATGCATTGGGAATGAGTGTAAAAGAAATAAAAATCACACCTATTGAGGTTACCCCTGCTGCACCCTGCCCCTCCCTGTTCCATAACCAGTACCCATTTATACATCTGGGCGAGGAGAGACACTATGAGGGTACGAACACAATGCAATGATCCCCAATTAAGGTCCATTGCACCAACATGATTGGGCCATTGTGCCTCCTTCTCCATAGGGTTGGAGTGGAGTTTACCCTAACATGACAGTTATAAGTCTAATAAGCTTCTACAGGGACAATTTGAGTGTAAACCAATGGCAACCAATAGCAACTTAAGGCGACTTTAGGCAACTTGAGGCCCAAGAGTAGGCCTAGGTCCCTCAAATATAGCACATACGGGACAGAGTAAGGCAGCACTGAGAAATCGCAAAAATTTCACATCACAAACTATTTTGCAACTAGCAAAGAGAACTGCAAACAATAAAGCGAAAATGGAATTTGAAACCCTCTGTTTACCATAATATTTCATACTTTTTTTTTCATGATCCTGAGAACAAGTTCCTCTTTTTCTTGGCATGGGAACTAGAGTCTTTCATCGTAAACATAAACCGTATTTGAGATACAACCCACAAAGAAAAAAGATCTCGGCCAAACAACACAGATCAGGGACCGCGGAGCGGATTTTCGAGTAGGGGGGGCTAATGTGAACCCGTGGGCGTGAGCCAACTAGGGGGGGTCAGGGGGCATGCTCCCCCGGGAAAATTTGACATTTAAGTCTTCTGAATTGGCTAGAAATGGATCTAAAACTGTCAATAGTGAAGTTTATTTTGTGGTTGTTCATAATGGTAATTGAACCGAGTGGAGTGCAATTTGGTCTGAAATCATATGCGTGATTTCGAAATCGAACGAGCATGCAGCGCGAGTCCGATTTGAAATCACAAGTACGATTTTAGACCAAAATTGCACTACACGAAGCTCAATTGCCACTTTATTAGATCCATTTTGAAATCGCACAATTTTATCACCTTAAATTTTATATTTTGGTGTATTGTTCCATTAGCCGGTTTGTTGAAAATAGCGGAACCGGAAACGTCTTTACGTCTCATTTAGTATGCAAAACGATGCCATGTGACGAAAACTCATTCGAGCATGACAAAGAAACAAGCAGTTCTGAAGTCTGAACAAAAACAGTCTACTTCATGCATAAAAGTTCAATTCTCGTTGCTTGAATCAATGATGGAAGGCCTTCCTTTCTTCTCTGGTTGAGGCTGAGACTTTTCGTTGTCTTTAGACAAGGAATTTCAAAGTGCATCTTATGTAATGCTGTGATGGATTTCTTTTGAGTTGTGAAACTCCCTCGAGTGCACGATGCTCATGCAGTGGATAAATATATTTTTTTTCTCTCAGGAGCAATTCTCCAGTAAAGTGAAGCAAAGTTGGAAATGAAAATTTTTAAACCCCCCTTCATTTTTTGTGTGGAGGTAGGTTACCTTGGGGGATGAACAAAAACAACCATATTTTGATCGGCAGATGTGCCGTTGCCATGGTTACTGCACTTGATCACGTCGGCCCAGGCCAGCCCGAGGTCGGCCTGAGGCCTCTGTTTTGACCAAAAAAATTCACTCTCAAGAAGTAAAAATAAACGAGTCTGGTTCTCGGGTGCATGTGAACCAATTTAAATGACTGTTCATACAGATGGTAGAGCCACTCTCTCAGTTTATAAAATTTACTATTAAAGTATTTTGGGTTTTATAATCAAGAAGACAATGCTCGTCCTACTATGTTGCCTGTCAGCCATATTGACAAGCAGGAAAAACAAGCACAACCATATTCGCGTGAAGTGTACGCGCATGCGTAGAATGAACCCCAGAGAGCATGGTTTTAAGCAACGGCCGCCTTCGTGGAAAATTCCTCGCTTGATGAAAGCGAAAGAAATTCGATGGCTATTACGCT